GAGACTTTCGTCTCATTTCAGAATGAAACTATCCATTTAAGGCGGCTTTATATGGGCTTTTGAAACCACAATGCATCCACCGTAATCGGAAAGCAATGAATTGTATCAAGACCTTTGAAAATTAAAGTAGTTACGATCTCGCACCGGCGACGATGTCCGCAGCACACTACATCGTCAGGCTATGGCGCTGATTGGTCGTGGGTAGACGAGTCAGCTGACCGGTCGACCAATCAGTTGAGCATGGGACAAAAGTCCGTGCCGCGTTATTTAGGAAAAGGTTAGGTTGGGTAAGTTGTGAGATGCGTTTGCGAGGAACATTGTTCGCATAGATAAGACTGAAAAGACCTAGCTCATCGTAAAAGCGACTATGCAAATTTAGAGTGTTGATACTTTGGCAGCATGCTTTTGTCGAAACAAAAGCAGAGGTGCTATTGTTTCCGAGTTATACAGGCGTTGTTTCGATGATTTTCCGAGGAAGAAAGCTGTTGCTTACGCCTTATTTAAGTTGGCCAATGTGGGATCCCGGAAAATTGTCGGCTTAATTAGGTTTGTGACGTCATTGGGTATTTATATTCAGTTCAACAGCAGGGAGTATGTATCATTCAGCAGAGATTGTGTATTACATTCAGCAGAGCATGTGTTACATTTGGCATTTTACTGCCTTATATTCAGCAGAACATGTATAACATCCAGCAGCATTTTATATACATTGTGCTATAGTTGTCCATGCCTATTACATTAGTGTAATTTATATAAAAGATTGTCTTTCGGACAGTTGGAAACTTTCAGAATTGTGAGCTGAGTTGCAATTTTTTGGTTATGAATAAGCCTAGTCAGTGTTTCTGTGCTTGGCATCTACTGTCACCCTTACCACACAATGGTCCCAAAATGTCAGCTTTGGATATAGTGTAAATTTGCTAGGAATATATTTAGTTCTCTCTGCAAGCTGTGATCATAACATTTTTGTTCTCCCTCCCCAAGAGCTGAAAGCAAATTTCAGATGCTGTATCCAACTATATAGGGAACTGCAACTTTGTTCCCAAATGAAGTACATCCAGGCCAGTGAAAGCCTAGGCAGGTATCACATTGCCCCAAAATCTTTCCTCTGGGTGAGCAAGGTTGTACACTGGGTAGAATGTAGCTGCTTTAAACGCCATGTTCCAGGTGCTGCTATTTATATTGTGACTTGCATGAAATTTCAGTCATAAACTTAGCATTATATGCTCTGTGGAATGGTGCAACAAGTGCACAACTGCTTTTGAGCATCTGCTTCTATCAGCCTTTATTGGGGCTGACACCTTTACAATATAATTATCAATATCAACAACTTTGTATCAGACTTACCTAGGAAGCTAGAAAATTTAATAATTGCAAGCAGCTGATTTGTAGTGGTCCTTGCCAATCACTGAAACCAACTAGAGCATGGTGATGATTGTCATCTGCTGCCAAAGAATGTCTTTTAGTGGCAGCTGTGAATGCAGTGCGGATTGACATGGGTTATTTTGTTCTCACTTCAAGCAGTGATTTTAATATTTTTGCTCTCTCCCCCAACAGCCAAAGCCAAATTTCAGACACTGGAAATAACTCCTCCGCCCCTACTGCGTTGACTCCTGAGTGCTGATCACACAGCATGTTCCAACATCCCAGATGGTGTATTTTTGTACATAACATACATTTGCATCTTTGTACATCTTTCCTTTTGGTCAGGAAGATTGTACCTTGGCTAGAATGTACCTGCGCGACCACTGCCTCAGACACGCCTATCTTTATTAGTGTGGTCTATATGACATTTCAGTCATCAAGTTGTCATAATGTGCTCTGTGGAATTGTTCAACAGGTGCACAAAATTGTAAGCATTGCTTTCTCTCAGCCTCAATTGGGACACACACCTTAACAATGGGGTTGTCTATATTAGTGACTTTCTATCAGCTCCGTAGCTTCAAAGAATACAGAAGGTGTGAGCTTAGATTTAGAAAGGAAGCACTCACCTAAGAAGCTAGAAAAAAATAAAGAATAAGATTAAATTTTTAAAAGTAAAATTAAAAAAATAATTAAAAAAATAAAGAATTGCAAGCAACCACTCTGTAATGGTGTTTCACAATTACGGAGACCAGCTAGAGCATGGTGTTTACTGTCATCCACTGCCAAAGAATGTCAATTCAGGGCCAGCTGTGAATACAGTATAAATTTACCAAGGTTATTTTATTCTCACTACAAGCCATGATTTTACCATTTTTGTTCTCTCTCAACAGCCAAAACCAAATTTCAGGTACTGGTGCCCCTGGTTCTTGAATGTGGTGAATGACATTTTAGAGATTGTGGCACATTCAACAAGTGTTTTACTTATCTTCAGCATGCAAACTGTGGAGACTTTCCATGGCTTGAAACTTGCAACATTTTTACTCTGTTGGTGCAAAGCTATCAGTTGGCACATGCAATGGTAGATGAAAGGGCTCATGGTTTATTAAGATGGGGCAGGATGGTGAAATCTTTAGACCATTCAGTGATTGATATAAGTGTATTCCACCCTCTTCTCAAATGTCTGTGAGAATTGTCATAGCATTTAATATCTACTTTGGTGCAGTACAAATTCAGTTTTCCAGGTACTATGAGTGCTGCTTTTTAAGCAACACTATTTTTGGTGTTACCAATATATTGTTATATTGGTGTTAACCAAAGAATGCTGTGCATTGGATGTCACTAACTTATCATTTTAGGACACTCTTGATTGTTAAAGTCTAAAATGGACAGTGTGTGTTGCAATAACTTTATGTGAGTTTAATTTCTGGTCAGCATTGTAGAACTTCAGGAACCACCAGCATAAACATGTGGGTAACGCCCCTCCCAAACAAATACTACTGAATCACGAGCATGTTAGGACTGAGAGCCATATGGTCACTGTCTGAGGAGCCAGTGTCACATGAGGTGAAAGTCATTGGATGTTATTGATCAGTTAAGTGTGTATCAAGCATAAAGTGACAAATAAAATACAATGCAAAGCAAAATGCAATGCAAGACCGTAACCACCTGATATGGCCCACACCACGACATCTGCAACTTTGGCGAGCGGCCCACCAGTCTCGTCGGCTTGTAGAGCCACACCATATCCTCGACTTGACAGGCATACTGACGAGTTCAGAGTTACACGCCCGCGAAGATATGCAGCATATTTCGGTGGGGCTATTTCAGGGTCTTCCAGGCATCCATGATGCTACAATAACGTCATCGAAATCCTGTCATTCCATTGGTCATTGGCGACGATGAAAACCAGCAACAATGTGATTGACGAGTCGTTTATATCTGGCGTTCGCGAGTCTCACTTCCAAATATTAGGGCCGGCATTTGGTTCTCAATATTGTGCACGGTGCGATGGCGCCATCAGATGTTATCTGAGCCTTTTGATGGATGGATTTCGAGGACCAGAGGTTACGCTAAGCAGTGCTTGTTGTGTGAGCCCTGACCCCTACCACCCGATCGCGCAATTTCAGGACAACGGTAGAATTGGTTGGTAAAGTTTAAGGTGTCGCAATGTTCGGCACGGTCCGTCCGTCCCTCCGGCACTAACCTTCAGCGCGGCCGTTGCCGCCGACCCCAAGCCATGTTTATCAAGGGCAAATAGCAAGTGCGTCAAGCGACTGGGACCCACCCCACCACGGGAAGGGGATCGGAAGGCAGGCGCTCTGACCAACTAAGCCACCGGAGCGGATAGCTTGGATGTTTTGAAATGTGAAACATTCCCTTAAAGAGAGCGTGCCAATTGTTGTACTTTTCGCTTATGGTTAGGTCAGACGCGTCCGATTTGATCGGTAATACCGGTTTTCAGAAAATCCTGAGTAGCCCAAAATTTTGATTTCAAGAAGTCTCTCCTGGCATAGAAATGTCAGTGAACTACCTGCTCACCACTATGAAAGTTATACATTTCATTTCCCTTGCTGTTTCCAACGGGCGTGTTCTGTACTAGTTGCGGCACGTTAGTTTGCCCAAATATTCGTATAACGAATGCTGCGAAAGTATGAAACGCTCTGTTAGGGTAAAGAGATACGCAAATATTAGGGGAATGTCCAGCAAATTCAGCGAAGCGTTACGCCTTGGCTCTTTTCGAGGCGTACCTTGTCTTTGGAAATAAGCTTGTCACATTGTCCATAGTGACGCACTGGCTCAGAATTCAACCGATGCCCCTCTCGGTAACTGGCCCTTATCGTCCGCTGCACCGATCGCAAGTGCTCATGCTGACATCATTCGCACCAGTGAAGGTGCCACTTTTCAGCCTGCGCGCCCGCACTATGCGGGTCAAAACAGCTAAAATGTGCTACCTCTAAACCGTTGCAGTCCTGCAATCGTCATGACGACCGCGATCCTGACAACTGTAGCTGGCAGGGAAGAAGTGCAGTGCTGTTGTGAACCGTTGACAGCATCATTTGGACTAAATGTAATAGAAAGTTACTGGAAAATTTACAAATCAAATTTGACTTACCTCAGGGGCTATCGTTGGGTTTCATCCATCAACTGGTCCCTTTCCACCGTCTATATTCCACAAAAGACATCTCTTCCATGGATGGTTTTCGATGATTCAGTTGGACAAAGCGAGTGAAGTAATTGACCACTTTTATAATCGTTATATTGTGCCACTGATGGTGTTCTATTGCCGTTTTAACTATGTCATTTATCAGAAAATGCCTTTTTAAGGGTCAATGCAAATTGTCCCCACTCCTCATGAAGACGTCGGCTGTCTATGACTTCTAGCTCGTTTGATACTTTTGTCAATACGAAACATCCGTCCTGTAGCTCCGCAAACGAAGTTGCGTGACGTCTGGGCAGGGCTAGGCACATCCACAAAATACACAGTACAGGTTTCTCCCGAATTTACTCGCTTTCCTCGTCAAGGGGGGAGGGGGATTGGACTCACCTCCGTCCTCAACTGAACAACTGAATAGGAAATTACACAACTGGCAATACCACTTTTACATGCGTCTCTGACTGCTCGGTTTTCCTCCTTTCAGGTGCCTTTTAGTGCCTTGCTGCAGAATGATGGACGGTCGGAGCCAGTACACGCGCTCGTCGGGGTGCCCAGTCAGCGCGTCGTGCTAACTCCCTTCCTCTGAATCCGACTGCACCGGTCGCTTTCAAACAGCGTCTGGGCATGTTCGCGACAACGGCGTTCAAGCGAGGCGCGGTGGTCCGCGTCACGCTGCAAAATTTCTTAACGTACGACGACGTGACTGTGCTCCCTGGCGCGCGACTCAACCTCATCGTCGGCCCCAACGGCTCCGGCAAGTCCAGCATCGTGGCGGCGCTCGTCCTGGGGCTGGGCGGCACCCCTGAGATGCTGGGCCAGGCCGGCAAGGTGGACCGATATATCAAGGCCGGCGCCGATACGGCGCTCATCGAGCTGGAGCTGTTCGACGAGGACGGAAACCAGGTCATCTCGCGTCGCATCCACAGGGGTGGGAGGGAATCGACCTGGAAACACGGCGATGATGTGGTCTCGCACGAAGACGTTCTGGGCGTAGCCGCAAAACTCAATATCGCGGTGGGTAACCTTTGTCAGGTCCTGCCGCAGATGAAGGTGCAGGATTTTGCGAAGTTGGACGCCAGGGGCTTGCTGGAGGGCACTGAAAAGGCGGTTGGCTACAAGGGCATGTATAAGGATCATCAGCGCCTGAAAGATGGGGATCAGGAAGCGAGGAAAATAACTGAGGATATAAAGGAGTATGTTGTGAGAATCAAGGAGTACACCGAGAATCTCGAAAGACTTCAAGTTGTTGTGGATAACCAGAAAGCGAGAGAGAAACTCGTTGAAGAAGTCCAACGGTTAACAGCGCGTAAAATGTGGTTTAAGTACGAAGCGGCTTCCCAACAGTTTCAGGAGCGCGCGAGAGAAGCTCGTGAGGCAAAAGCAGTCCTCCAAGAACATGAACGTGACCTGATGTGTCTGGAGAATACCTTAAGCAGTGCAAAAAGGAAAGAAACTGCCTTGAAGAAAAAGTCTGAAACCAGCAGCAACAACTTGCGGGAGGAGAATGAGCGGCTGACGAGGCTCCGCGCCCAAGTGAGACAGGCGGGGGAGACCATATTACGCCTGAAGCAAGAGCACAACTCGAAGGCTGTCAAGGAGAAGGAGCGCCAGGAGCGCGCCCTTGAACTGAAACAGAAGCTTGAGTACGCACGGAAGCAGCTGGACGAGTGCGAGGAAGCGGACCCGGCGCTGGACGACGAGATTCGCAACTGTGACGGCGAGATTCGCGGGCTGTCGGGTCGAGAGACCAGTGAGCAGGCCACGCTGGACGCCCGCTCCAAGGATCATGAGCAGCTGCAGGGCCGTGTCAACGGCCTACAGTCGGAGCTAAAACGCGTTCGCAGCGACGGTGGCCAGCGGCTGCAGATTCTGCGCGGTCGCGACAGGGACTTGTACAAAGCGGTGCTTTGGCTGCGGGAGAACGCCACACGCTTCAAAGGCACGGTGCACGAGCCTATGATCTTGTTGCTGGACGTGTTCGACAAACGGTTCGCCAAGTACGTGGAGACTTCGATCCCCTGGGGGGATCTGTTCGCCTTCACATGCGAGAACCGTGAGGATATGAAGGAATTTCTACAGCAGACGCGTAATCGCCAGGGACTGCGCATAAGCTGCGTGCTCTCCGACCCGGCTGTGCCGCGAGATGAGCCGGTCGGCCTGGCTGCCAGAGATCGCGAGCTCGGCTTCACTCACACCGTCGGCGATCTGTTTTCAGCGCCGGACGCCGTGCGCCGGTATCTGCAACGGGTGAGCAACATCCCTGTGGCCAGCGTTGACAAGGAGGCCGAGGAGAGGATCGTGGTGGCGACAAGCGGGAAGAGCTGGCTGACTCGGTTCCTGGTCGGTGATACGAGCTGCACGTCAGGTCGCTCGCGCTACAGCAGTGAACCGTGGGTTACTTCGTCGAATATCTCAGCGCCTAGTCAGTTTCTCATGTGTCCCACGGATCAGTCCCGCGAGCTCGAGCTGGAAAGAGAGATCGCCGAGGCGAAGGTGCGGCGCGACGAGTTGAAGGAGAAGGTGGACGCCGTGCGCCAGGAAGTTGACAGGCTGGCCACGAGCCTCGAGACCCAGCGCCGCCGCCGGAAGGCGCTGACTGCGCGGCGCGACCAGCGCTGCAATTTGGAGGGTCTGCACCGCGCCGCGGAGAGGTCGCTGCAGAAATGTCAGCAGCAGAAGTTCGACGTGGCCAAACACGCCGCCGAGACGGACGCGAGCGTGCGCGCGGAGCTGGAGAAACTAGCCGGGCACCATGACCGCCTGCTCGCCGCTTGCCAGAAGCGCCAGGGCCAGGAGCTGAGGCTGAATGTGACGCGCGTGCAGCACGATCTTGCGCAGCGGCGCCGGACGGAGGCGACTAACGCGCTTGCCGAAGCGAAGAACGGGCTGGCCGACGAGCGGCGCACTGTGGAGGAGAAGGAGGGGCTGGCGCAGGAGGAGAGGCTGAAGGCGAAGCAGCTGAGATGCTCTGCACTGAAGCTGATGGGCCTGCAGGACGATGACGCGCTCGAGGCGCGGCTGGTCAGGCTGTTCCGCCCCCTTCCTGACTCGCTGCAGGCCGTGGAGGCTGAGATACACGAGAAGAACGCACGGGCTGGCCTCATCGCATATGACCAAGATGCTGTGGAGCGCCATGAGTCTCTGATGAGCGACCGAGGGCGGCTCCAGGAAGCTGTAACCGAACTGGAGCAGAGCCGCGAAGCCATAGGCAAGGGCTTGGCCAGTGTACGCCAGCGCTGGGAAACCCAGCTCGAGGAGATTGTTACCAAAGTCAACATCCACTTCAGCAAGTCTTTCCAAAAAATGGGCTGCGTCGGCGAGGTGGGGCTGCTCCGGCCTGACGACGGCCGCGCAGCCGGCTTCGGCATTTCGATCCTCGTCAAGTTTCGCGCAGCCGAGCAGCTGCTTCAGCTGTCAAGCATGCACCACAGCGGCGGCGAGCGCAGCGTAGCCACCATGCTCTTCTTCATCGCCCTGCAGAAGCTGGGAGACGCCAACGTGCCCTTTCACTGCGTGGACGAGATCAACCAGGGCATGGACGCGCTTAACGAGCGCCGCACGCTGGAGCTGGTGGTGGAGACGGCATGTCATGAAGACGGCGCGCAGTACTTCCTGGTCACGCCAAAGCTGCTACCGCGCGTCAGCTACCCGAGCAGTGGCATCACCGTCCTCTGCGTGTTCAACAGCCCTACCATGTTGCCGCACACCCAGTGGGATGTTGAGGCGTTCTGCCGCAGGATTGAGCAGAAGCGGTATGTTGGCGGGACCTAGCCAGCCTGGGCTGGCTGGACCAGAGGGCTGGCCTGCCTCGGCCTGATCTTTGCGTTTGATCCAATATGTCAGCGTGATCTTGTGGGGATATGCTGCGGTGTGGTGGTGTGATTTTGTGCTCGCAATTTTAATGGAAATGAAAAAGAAAATCTAAAAGTGATAGAAAAGGAACTGAAAATGACAGATTTACTGGGATGGATGCATCCATCGTTTTGGAATAATTACATCTTTACATGATTTTGCCCTCGTAGGCGATGACGCATGTCCAGAGTACATATCCAATGTAACGTAGTTGTATTCCCAAAATGAACATCAGTGCAGACGCTAGCATCTGGACTTGTGCTGGAGAATACCAAGCAGGAGACTGGGAAAATGAAGGCACTCTGGACCAGAACCACCATGATTTGTTACATGTGCCTTTTCTTACTAGAAGTATTGAGGTGCCATTCGTCCTCGCGCATAATGCACTGTGATTGTCCTCTTCGTGACTTAGTGTGTTATTAATAAATCACGTCAAGGCAACACATCAGATCTCATCTGTGTATTGCTGTGTGGAAGAGCAGTTGGCAATTAAACCCTCCATTGCCAGGCGGCACCCACTAACTGGAAGCGCAGGCGCACGCATTGCCCCGGGCCCCACCTTGCAACCACGTACGGTAAACATGACACGGTTAGGCCACCGATGTACATGTAGAGACCACATAGTTGAGAGACCACATGGACCACCGCAGCCACATGGAGGGGCCACATAGAGGTCACATGGAGACCACATGAGACCACCACAGTTGGTATCAGAACGCGGCGCTCCTCCTGTAAGGTTTCTCTGTGTCGTGTCACAGACCCATAATTCATGCGTCTTTTAGTCAAAAGATGTTTTACCGTTTGCTTCAGAAGGCTTTTTGACACAATTTTTGTTAAAGATATAGTTCCCACCTTTTGAATTGATGGATTTCTGTGATCAGAGCTCAAGCTAAGGGGTGCTTGTGGGAGCTCTGACACCCACCATCCGATCGTGAAATTCCATGTTAACGGCAGACTGGTGGTCGAAGTTTAACGTGCCACAGCGCTCGACACGGGCCGTCTTGCCCTATGGCGTTACCCCCTCTTCGGCGTGACAGCTGCCAACCGCCACAGACCATTCCAGTTAAGGGCAAATAGCAAGCGCCTGAAGCGACTCGGACCCGCTCAGCCACCGAGGGGATCAGGAGCCAGGCGCTTTAAGCAACTGAGCTGTGGGGATAGCCACATAACAGCGTTTGATCAGAGGCGTTGCCAGAGCGCAGCATGCCATGTGTGCAGCAATCGGCTGGTTGGCCCTGCTCATATTTCGAAGCCCTTCACTTTCTTTTGCTGAACTGAGGGGGTGCCGGTAGTGTAGTGGTTAACGCGCCTGCGTAAACCGCTGCGCGTCTGGGAAACCAGAGGTACGGGGTTCGATTCCCCGCGTTGCCCGCACTTCCTGGCAGGGTGACGGGCAGGAGACGCAGCTGATTGCGTCGTAAAGCCCCAATGGCATGACATGACATTGCTGAATTGAGCTCAGAACGGGGGAGGGGGAGGGAGAAGACCGGGGACCGTCGACAGCACCATCGACGGCGAATCCACGGACACTGCGGAGCTGGGGCGCGGCAGCCGCATCGCAGTCGTCGGCGGCGACGCACAGTCGCGGGCCTGCTCGACGTACCCACGTGTGTGTCCTTCGTCGCACTCGCAGAGGAGTGTTCCACCAGCATTGCCGTCCGCTTCGCCACCAGTGTGTAGCGAGGCGACCGACTGCCCAAGGCGACAGAAAAAAACACCGCCGACCTAGGGGGCGCCACAGAAGAGAACGGAAGCGGCGCGTGTCGGCCCCACCGTGATGTCCGTGAAGTTGGCCATTTAGTGACGAGTTCTGGGGGACGGCACTAAAATCTGTGTCCGAGGCAGACATCCAGAAACATGCGTATTAAATACTGTCACGGGTCACGGTTGATGAGAGGTGACCAGTGCCTCAATTTCAACAGGATTTAGTTTCATGACTTGCGCCTTTGACGTTGCATGGGGGGAAGCGCTCTCGAGGACGTCGATTGGCCCGGAATATTTGTCCGTGCTGCAGCCCCCGTGACCCCGAAGGTTGGTGGGAGGCGTCGTGTCTGGCACGCACAACTCTCGCTTGTCTTCAACTCTGCTGAGCATGCATACATACAGCGATGCATAGGCATTTTTGGGGATTTTTTGGCATTTTTTATGTTTATATTTTTATTTTTTGGCATTTGGGGAGCCTGTAACTTGTTTGGAAATTGGTTTACTTGTTCTGTCGCAAAAGCATGGCGTTGTATTTTTGGTACCGAGTTGGTGGTAAGGTGTGATTACTTCTCTCGGGGGACCTGCGGCGAACATAGTGACATAGTGCAGACCAACGCTACCCTTAAAAAGTGCGAAGCGTTACACGGGTCTAGTTGGCTATCGTGCGTGTGTGTGACTAGCAAACACGATATGAAATAACGGCGTTTTAGTAGCCTCACCCACCAATTTCTCGCGCTGTATGTAATAAGTGACAGTGAAACTACACAAGACGTATTTTATCAGGGGGCAACCGCTAAAGCCGCCGGATTTCCTGTGAACGCCGAGACAAAGAAAAGCACGCGCACACGGGGCACATGCCCGCCGTTTGCAGGTCTAATCTTGGCGTATATAGTTACAATTACTATTCACCAGCACAAAAGTGGTAGGTTGAAACAGGCGACGTAAGCGATTTGGAAAAATCAGTGTGGTGCGTGGCCGCTCCACACAATTGATGAACAATGCAAGCAGCTTCAGTTTAAGTCAGCATATTAGCGGCGAGTTCTTCCAGTTTTGGCTTGTCTTTGTTCGTGAGCACGATGAGCGCATCGCAGGCTAATGTGGCAAGGGTAGACCCGTTCGCTTTGTGGCGCCCGCCGGGGACGAAAACAGCCAGCATCGACCGGTCCGTTGCGAGGGGCACCCAGCCGCCGCGCGGAAACACACCCATCGCCCGCACCAGGAGCCGCTCGACGAATAATCCCCTCTTTCGGCGCCCATCCGCACAACAGCGCTAACTTCATCATCGAAATGGTACCGTAGGAAAAACGGACTTGGTCTTTGTCAGGGTACCGTTTTTGCGCCGAGCCGCGCAGTTTTGTCGACGAGATCGATGCTCTGCGTGTTTTTGCCTTTGTCGTTTATGGACCTTGCTGGTGGCACTGCGCTGTCCTGGAGTGATGTACAAATAATGTTGTGGGCGAGAGGACGACTGAATATATGTCGTAAGGAGATCAGACCTTGTAATGCCAGCAGATTTGACATCGTTCGTGGGGGGGGGGGGGGGGGTCGCGATGTCGGATCAAGACTAGACGGAAGCCGTTTCATGCTCTCGCAGTACGATAGATGACACACGTGTCCATTGCGGCTTCTTGAATTCAAAGGGCATACAAATTAACGAGTCGCAGTCCAAATGGTGGCGTTCACAATCGCTTCCGCCAGCAAACATGGGAGCTAAAAGCCGGCAGAGGACGAGGCATACACAAGTGCGCTCTTTCCGTATGGACTTCCTGTCTCCTGATGCGAAGCTGATGCAAGTGTGGCGGGCGACAGGCCATGTAATGGCTCAGTTGCTTTTAAGAGAATGAGACTTCCTGCCAGGACGCCGCCAAACGGGGGCATCTGTCGAGCTTCAATGGAGCCCCCAAGGTCGCTGTCTGAGGCTCTCAGACGAAACCTCCGCTTCGTCTGTTCAGGCGTGCCACAGGTCCATAGTATCAGGAACTGCAGCGTTATGAGGAGGAAGGGGCTGGCTCGCGTGATCTGGTCCTCGAGACGGTTTGAAAAGACTTTGTATCGGGCCCATGTCAGCGCTTGGTAAGAAGAAAACAAAAACGCCTTAAGCTTAATGCTTCAATGCCGGAGAAGTTCTCCGGGCCCCGGGCATAGTTCACTTAGTAAGGTGTAAAAGGACAAATCGGTTTACTGGCACTGTTCTAATGCGACCATACTGGCATGACCAGGCGGTTTTTCGATGCTGCCAACCACATGGTGCTGTTTTTGGCGCATATGGCATACCTTATACCTTGTGCGTGAAGAGAGAGAGAGAAGGGGGAGGGGGTGGCGTATCTTTCAAGACTAAGGGGTCAGAACACTTATTATTGCTCGTACTTTGCCGGGGCAGACCGTGTGTGTGTGCCGGGGCAGACCGTGTTCTACAGTCCCGTGGCAAAGTCTCAAAAACTCGCTTGGCATAAGCCCGTCTTGAAGCCAGGTGTGCCGTGCAATGCCGTGCAGTTTGCGTTACATTATCGCGGAAAGTCTATGTGCCATGAATTACCCGGCCTCTGTATGTTTTTGCTTGGAGTCGATTGTTAAGCTTCTGGGTTCGTGGGATTCGATGAAGCTCTGAAGTGGAATTTCGCTGTCTGACCGGTAACGATGCAATCATGGTTTAACTCAGTCGAGTACTTGTGCGGTGTCCTCAGGGACTTGAACGCGCTATAAGCGTTGCTTGGCTCTAAAGCTCGTTCTACAGCGGTCCAATCGCCTTTGATGTTCGATGCTTCGATGCTCTTATGCAACGATATATCCTAAAGCTCTCCAAATCTGTCCATCACTGGAGTTCGGAGTGCCAGGACCCGCGAGCCCCAGTGTATAGAAGCGCACGCATGGTTGTCACGCCACACCAGGTAACAACGAAGACAATGCGATTTGAATTTTGCATCGGTATTCAGTCGAGAGCCAGCGCGTTGCACTGTATCTGATGAACGAATTGAATATTTCGTCCTTGTTGCTCTTTATCCTCACTGTTCAGTGTTCATTGAGCACCTCATTACTATTGTCATTAGTGAAGCGATGAGTGCAGTCGCATCTGACACTAACGGGGCATACTTTGAGAGAGACAAATTGGGATCGAAGTGAGATAAACTGAGCTGAAAAGGTATTCTTTGTGCAATAAAATGCGAAGACATGCATTCCGTGGACAATGTTAAGGGGGCGAAAACCCACGTTGGCAAAATTGCAGAACGTGTACTCCTACCTTGTTGAGGAAGGAAAGGGGTACTGATATGCATGTACCGATATGCATCGATAAGCGTAGCTCATATATCGGTACCTTTGCACTGATAAGCGTAGCCGGCGTGTTGTCCGGGAAAGGTGGAAGCTGTGTGCCTTTCCAAATGTCTGGGAAGTTGCGTTTTTGACTTACTGATAACATTGGTTATTAGGCGTGAGTTCATAATTGAGCTCAATATTCGGTTTCGGAATATTGGAAAACTAGATCGAGCGTACAGATTTGGCGAGCACATGGATACCGAAATCGTCGATGTGATATTTGAAAACCTTGGAGAACCCGATGAAAATAAACATATTTACTAAGACACTCGGCATCGATGGCACACGTAATTCACGATTAAGTTTGTAGATACTCCCTATGGCCGAGGCAAGCATGAAATAGTCAATGTTTACGTTCTGCTTGCACCAGCATCGATTCGTACAGAGAGATAGCGCGTACTTCACCACAGCGCCGCGATGCCACT